CGGTAATTATGGCTGAGAGTATAAAATAACTACAAACTCTACTAGATGCAATAAATAGTAAATGCATTTAAATGGGACTCTTCATCAACACAGATAAGATCAAATTTATGATAGTATCAAGGAGTCCAATAAATAATGAACAACTATCCCTTGGTGGACAGCAAATAGAGAGAGTGACAAAATATAAATATCTGGGAGCTCAACAATAATTAGAACCAGACCAAGAGATTAGGGTACGAATAGAAATGGCAAGGGCAGCGTTCTTAAAATTCAAGCAATTGTTCTCTGACAAAAATCTTAATACTACGCTGAGACTGAGGTTTGTTGAATGTTATGTCTGGTCCCAATTATTGTACGGGGTAGAAACATGGACGTTAAGAGCACAAATAGTTAAGAAGCTTAAAGCCTTTGAACTTCCGATTATACCGGAGAATGTTGAGAATTTCATGGACTGCCAGGGTCACCAATGAAGAAGTGCTGAGAAGGATGGGTCGAGACAAAAATTGTTGAGAACAATAAAAGTACGAAAGACTGCATACCTTGGACAAATACTGCGGAATGATAAATATAGTCTTCTGCAGGTCATCATGCAGGGTAGAGTCGATGGCAAAAAGGGAATAGGTAGAAACAGGAAGTCATGGCTGCGAAATATTCGAGACTGGACAAACATGACTGTAGACGAATTATTCTATCTTGCAAAAGACAAAGAAACTTTTATAAATGTGGTCGCAAATCTCCGTTAATGGGGACGAGATAGAAAGAAGAAGATGATTTTAATTATTTTTTAATTAAATATACCATTATACACCAAAAGTCTTTACTTTACTGTAAATTTTTTTAACTGTGGTATACAGCCAATCACTACGATTTTCCCTTTTTACTTTACCTTAATTTTTTTTCTGTTGATGTTAACGTTCTTATAGAATGCTCTGACGTATTGCTCTCTGTTAAGGTTTTCTATATAAGTGGTATTATCTTATTTAATTGGTTTTATCTTTGTACTTTGTGTATTCTCTTTTTTTCTTTTTTTCTTTTTCTGATAATTATCTATAGTTATTCTAGTTCATTTGGTAATCATTTTTCTGTTGGCTTAATTTTTTCGCTTGTTATAGTTTTACTATTTATTGTCAAACCATTGATTTTTACGAGCACAAGATTCTATTTCCTTTTCATCTTTTGCTGCTGCTTCACTAATTCAGATTCTGTTTCCTTTTCATTTTTTGCTGCTGCTTCACTAGTCCAACAGTAGTCCATATCTTTCCGACTCGGTTCATACAGATATTTTGATTCTTTGGCCTGTTGATGATGTTTATCAATCACCGTTCTGAAACTGTAGTATCTCTCAGCTTTTGTATACTCCATTTTTTTTTAGTCATTTTAATTTCTTTATTGATGTTTAAAATATTATTCCTTAATAAAGGAATCACTAGGCAATAACCTGAATTTGTTTGCGCCCCTATAACCTCTGCAGTTCATTACGTCTGTTTCGTGTCTTGAATTCATTAAGATGTGATTAATCTGACTCGTTGTTCTTCAATCAGGGGTAGTCCAGGTTACCTTGTCATGTTTGGTGATGATGCTAAGGTTATCAGTCGTAATCTATTATCTCTACTGACGTTGTGTAGGCTATGCCTTTCTATAGTAAGGATAAAAAATTGCTCTCGTCCTATTCTGGCATTCATGTCACCTAACACTATCTTAGTGACATTTCTTTGGAATATCTTTTGTAAGCGTACTCCAAGTCTTTGAAGAATGGTTCTATTATTTCTTCTGGTTTGTGATCACTCCGATCATATGCATTGATCAAACTGTAATTTAAGATTACTCTTTTAAACACAAAAAGTACATTCTTTGACTGTAGGCTTTAAGGTAAGCAATAAGGGCGTTTATTCTCTGATTTACAATAAAGCCCACTCCATATAGGTATCGAATTTCATCGCATTTATAATATATCGGCAGACTTCGACAAGCTGAACCATATTTTCAAATCGTCTGATATACCAATATGCCTTTAAAGAAAAACCTTTAATCAGTATGTTTTGCCAGTGTTGACTTACGGTGCCGAAACGTTGACCATGACAAGGAGAACAGTTCAAAAAGATCCGTGTGTATCAAAGGACGGTGAAGCGTGCTATGTTGGGCGTTTCACTACGAGACAAGATCCCAAATCGCCAGCTACGACAAAGTACAGGAGTGGCTGATGCATTAGAGAGAGTAGCAACACTGAAATGGAACTGGGCAGGTCACGTGGCGGCTCGAATGACAGATAATAGATGGACAAAGCGGATACTGGAATAGAGACCAAGAGATGATGCCTACCGAAGCAGAGGTCGTCCACCAACACGTTGGACTGACGATCTAAAACGGTGTCATAGGAATTGGATGCAAGAGGCACAAGATCGAAATAGATGGAAAATTATGAGGGAGATCTATATCCAGCAGTGGATAAGCGAAGATTGAATGATGATGAATATATGGAATGGGTTCTCTTGTCAAAAGTGAAGGTTTCCGTCCATCGCATTTTCTATAGTGCCAAACTATCTACTTTGTACGTGTTTGCTATGTCTAGTAAAGATTGAGCGCTACATGGTTCGGTTATTCGATGTTCCTAATCTCGATTTCATTTTTCTTTCTTAAAGTTGTTTTCGTAAGTTCCGTCTAACTAATAGTTCCTGAGGTTCCGTACCATATAAATTTTTACAGAAAGAGGTTGTTGGCCTTTAACCTAACCTCCAACCATTAGGACCAGAGACTCTTCTGTTAGGGTTGCTATACCTTCATCTGTTTTGGTTCGCAGGTGGTATTTTCTTTCCCACCTTTCTGTCGGTCCTAAAACCATCTACTACCTGGGGAGGCGTCTGGGAGACGGGCAACTACATACGGGCTAAATTTTCATTGATCTATTTTTACCATTTTAAAGTCAATTAATAAAAAAGTCAATAAATAAAAAAAAGATGTTTTTGAATAGTGTTACGTCTACACTGTAATATCCTCTTAAATATTTAAAAATTAAAAAATACTGGTGAGACCATGTGTTTTTTAAAACCCCAGTAATTATTATTGCTACATATCAGTCCTACCCACAGTTCTTCCGGTTTGAATTCATGACGTATATGTAAAATGTTTATCTTTTTATTTTACCTTTTTGAAACCGTGCAACGAAGTCAACAAACTATAATTAATACTTCGAATTATTTTCCCACATTAACTTTGTCTATTTTTTGTATATCGCGGTATGATAACGTAATAACATTTTTTAGTATTAATTACTAACGTCTACATTTATATATATAATTTTTCGTGGTTATCCTAAAAGTTCCCATTAAGAGGTATTTGTTCCGCATGGATTTTCCTAATGTTTAAATACGTCAATTGGATAGATATTATTTGTTTTAATATTAACCTTATTAAATTCGTTATTTACTACCGTATTTATTGACAACAAACGACCATTTTAAATGATAATACGCTATATTGGTTCCGAGATGGAAATCGAAATCTCAAATATAAATTATTTTCAATGCAAATTGAAGGGTAAAGGGAAAAAGCAACTAAGTCAAAAAACTATATTTTTCAGGAGAAAAAAAAAAACATTTGAAACGATAAAAAAGCTATGCTTTTTTACATTTCTAGCTAAATATTTTATATACAGTAGCCTCTTAACCGGTCCCGTATTAACCGGCCGTCGTATTAACCGGCCGTCGTATTAACCGGTCGTCGTATTAACCGGCCACTCCATCTTCCTATTGTTTTGCGTAAGAGACGATCATCAAGCGCCGCTTGATGATCGTCTCTCGCCCCCAGTTGTCAGTTCTGGTTTTGCTTTCGGGAAGGATTGAATTCGTCTTGTGCGAAAATTAGAATGCAGTAGGAACACACAAAATTCCACTTTTCGTTGTTGGTAAGTTGATGCATTTAAAAATTTACATCCATCGTCCCTCCCCTTATTCTACAGATCACAAAAATCAGCATGGATGAGCACTGATCTATTCAAAGAATGGTTTGAGCGTAAATTTGTTCCGAGCCATCTTAAGATATGTGTAAATCTTTCCACTAAAGCACTCCTACCTCTGGATAATGCTCCAACTCATCTTGAAAACCTAACATGTGAGACACATGACATAAAAATTATCTTTCTTCCTCCTAATCTGACAAGCTTGGTGCAACCGATGGATCAAGGGGTCATTAAAAGCTTGAAAAGACGATACAGACATAAATTACTGTCTGAAATTTTACAATGCGCAGAAAGTAAAGGTCTCAATCTTATTGATATTATCAAAAAAAATAACTTAAACGACGTAATTTACATGTTAGCTTCCGCCTTCCAAGAAATTCATGCTTATATTTTCGTTAAGTCTTGGCGAAAACTTTCAAGTCAACATTGAGGAACTTGTTAAGTTTTAACAATTACACAAAGAAGATCTACCACCATTCTGTGTTATCCGAAAATGTCCAATTGCAGGCCGAAGATATTGAAGAATGGATGAACTGTGACGAGGAACTTAAATACGAATTTTTAAAAGATGATGAAATAATTACACTAGGAACACATGTTGAGCCTTATGAAAATGAGGAGACTGATGATGGTGATGTTGACGGAGAGGAAAAGGTCGGCCACACTGAAGCGAAGGCTGCAATGGAGGGGCATTGAAGTATATTACAACGCTCTTGGTTTTTAAAAAATGGAGAGATATAGCTTTTAAAAATTCACTTAATCTCAAGAAACAGAAGAAAGTTACCGATTTTGTAAAACAAGTTTGTAAAATATTTAAACATGTATATGTACATAGAAATAAATAGTATTTTTCAACTGTATAATCTGTGATCTTTATTCATATACACCTTCATGTACATGTGTTTGATATATCTATCTATGTATGTACTTGATTTTTCTCATGAAAATGACTGCACATCGGATTAACCGGCCATTTGGTCAATCGGCCAGGCTCTGGTCTCGAGGTGGCAGGTTAAGAGGGAGTCTACTGTATTTAGATATGTTTTTATTTAAACAAAATGTGGACTGAGCCTGAACAGATAAAAAAAATTATTATTTTTATTATTTTTTTATTCCGCAAGGCATTTCTACATCACATTAAACACAATAAAAGAACAAACCAAGCTAGAAACTACTAAAGTTAATCTGATTTCCAAAAATCTCTTTGATCGCCAAGAACATTATCGGGCTCAACTGGTAGCTCAAGCTGATTGACAGAAAGAAGTTGGCTGTAGTACTCTTTATATTCTTTCTTTTATATTTTATATTATATTAGAACTTTTATATTTCTTTTCTGAGCAAAGGTACAAGCGTTTGGTAGAGCTCATTGTGTTCTTGAAGATCGAGTACCTTAGATTTCCCCTTCTGGTTCTTCCGTTGATCTTTTACTAGGGATGACGTGAAAGATCCGCTATATGTTTTCCTGTGATCCACGATTTTGCATTTTGTTAAAAAAAAATTAGCTGTTTTAGTTGCCAAATAAAAAAAGCAAATTTCTTTTGTAGAACTTGGAGGACAAAAATGTACCCCACACTTTGATGGTATAACAATAAACGAACGTGGCTTAATTCGTGCGGCTTCTTTAGCCTCTCTCCAGCCATCTGGAGTTTCAGCCTTTGCGGTTCCATAAATGAATGGCCGCGCACTGGGTAAGTTATTGTCACAATGTCAAATATTTTTAGTGTAGCAGTTAAGTAGTGAAAGAACTGGATGATAGTGTGATGTTTGTTTTGTCCAACGCAAGAGTCGGCAAACACATAAAGTTTTTTAACAGCAGGAGTCAGTTAGGTGTTGAAAATGATAGAGCATCGAGGCAACGTCATCTGACGTTTTTTTTGCGATGGTTTGGTCAAACGTGTACATGATTGAAACACCATTTGACAAAATATAAATATTAAAAATATAGAATGACCGTATTCTAAAATACACTTTAGCAGAAGTTATATTCGGAGTAGGAAGATTTTTTTCGAAGTCTATAGCGATAGTTTCTACAGTTGATGACTTTCAAGCTTTAGTTTTTGCACGCCTTTTCAATTCATAAAACCAATCGGCCTTCTTCAAATGGAGTGTCTTTTCAAATTCTAGCTTCCTGATATCGTTCTCTAACTTTACGTGTTCGTTGTCACCTTTTGAAACGTTAATTTTCCTATCAAAGTCAATAATTTTGACTTTCTGCTAGTCACACCAACAGCATGTTTCAGTTCGTGGGTAACCGAAGGAGATGTTAAACTCTGACACAAATATTTGCCTGAATGTTTTATAATACATCTCAATATGGGGTTGTTTAATCAAAAATAATTTGAGAAGATTTTTAACATTTATATCTTCCTGAAGGTAACCTCTGTTGGAGTCCTTCAAAGTGCGCGTGTAGCGCACTTAATGTCTCTTTAATGAGCTTAAAAACTACAATAACAATTCACGAGTTTGTTGATCTACCTTATGAGATCTATTTGAATGCTTTCCATTTATAACGATCGGCGCCTTGCCAGTGATTCTTAAAGATGTTTTTATTGTATGTCATCGGAAGGCTTTAATTCCTAATAGTAATTGAAACGCTTGATATAAACATACTGTTACCTCTACTGTACTGCCATTTTTAATAACTCTTACTTTGTAGCTGCAGGAGCTTGCATCCAATCTAGCATCTTCTTCGTTTTTCATTGGCCTTCGTTGAAACACATCTCATAATGAAATAAGTCCAGATAAGTAACTATTTTGGGAATCATTACCATTGTCACTGCCAATGTTATTAAACTGTCTTATTAAATCAAGTTAATAGAAATATTGTGAAAGCACTTGTGCAAGCGGTATAACAAAGACTCTTAAACCTAAAGAATACTGAATACTTCTTAACAACTTAATAAGTTTAAATAAACGTATCGAAACAACAACTAATAAACAAAGCTGCGATGACCTGCGTGAGAGTAATAACGAAAATTATGGACTGTGTAGCTTAGTTATTTCATTGTTTCATGTTGACTGTTAGTTTTTCCCCTGCAATAGATATTTAAAACCTTTGAATATTGCAGGACTACGTTTGTTGTTCCCTTGAAATTTTGTCAATATAAAATACACCTCAAACAGAAAGTGTGAAAAGGTAAAAGAATTTTTTTTATTTTTGGACTATGTTAGTTTTTCCCCTGTGCCCTTTAATTGTTCTGAAGCTATTTTCTTGTGGCATCTTAATACAATTTACTATTTTTACCGGGAATAAGAAACAATTTTACTTTAAAATAGGTTGATTTTGACGTTTTGATTTCCACTCCCAAAATCGTTCTCAAAATACAAAGTAACCTTTGTGTCTATACCCAGGTTCCTGGGTATACTTGATAATTGTTTTATGTAAATCATTGTCGATAGTATAAATATTTTTAATCCAGGTTCTAGTTTTTCCTAAAATTATTAGACGAAGAGATTTATAATAAAAACCAACAAAAAAATGCATAATAATATATTAAAAATACCTATCAAAGTTTTTACATTACGTCCACACCCGTGGCACCCGGGTAACACTAATTTTTAGTAAATCATGAAGCCGTGTCTAGTTTTTTATAATAAAAGTAATAAAGAATCATAAATAAAAAATAAATTTCAAATATATTGTCCGCACATACTTATTTTTACTGAGTGTTCGTTACATAGTGGACGATTACAAACATTACATGATTTTCGTGACTTTCTTAGCCGCTTTGTCGCTAAATATATACAAATGTAGCAATTTCCAACAATTTTGAGGCGTCCAGTGGAATCTCGAAGAGGTTCTCTTACTATATTACTTGAATCTGTAAGTAGAGGTTTTCCTAACATACAGTCAATTCCTGACCTTGATGAAAAATTTGAATATACATTTGGTACTTTAGATCTAGCAGAAATTGCAAGCATCACTAGTTGTTTTCCCAAGTCTCGTAGAAAAAGTATACGCTTACTAGTTTCAGTAGAACTCTGTGGATTGTTCTCTGTATAAATTATATAGGTTGCTAGGCAAGCTACGTCTTCTTCTTCTTCTTTTGGCATCATAACTCTGGATGGGTCTTTGCCTGTCTGGCTATGTCCTTCCGTTTAGATCTCTCTTGTGCCCTTCTTCTCCATTGTCTTATGTTCATTGTTTTCAGGTCGTCTTCCACGTCATCCAACCATCTCGTTCTGGGCCTTCCTTTTTTTCGCCTTCCTATGGGCTTCCATTGTAACATTTTCTTTGTTGTCTTTGCATCGTTTTGTCTCTGCACATGTCCCAGCCATGACAGTTTTTGACTTTTCACAAATCTTACAATGTCATAACCTTCATTTAACTCATTAACCTCGTCCTCAAGCTACGTCTAGGATATTGTAAAAGAAGGCGACTGGCCAACGCAAAGTTCTGCGTTTATACGCAGAACTTTGTTTATACGCACAACGTTTATTTAACTTTACTTTACTTTTATTTTGTCTATGTTGTCTACGCCTCCTTTAGTTTTATTATAGAACTGAATTATTTTAGGTTTATTTTTTTAGCCACTCACATTATCATTGTCATGTATTGTTGATCTGCACTAAATCTGTAAAAAATGATATGCAGAAATTTGTAAAAATGGTCTAATCCATGTTTTCATTATATGTGGCTTAGACGCTTGTTGCAAATCTTTGTAAGCGTCTTTTCATTGTGTGCACCAGATGCAAAATATTAAATTGAATAAATCTTTATTTTGAGTTATTAAAAGACGAGAAATTTGTTTTTTTTTTTCAAACGGGCTCCAGCTGGTAACTCTGGAGCCCGTTTGAAGAGGTTTACTCTCCGGCCACTGGAACTCATCTATGGGTGTATATTACCTGTAGTCAAATTTAATTTAATATCAAACATTAAATGTGATTAACAACATAATGTACAATCTTTAGTCTTCTTCTTTTTGTGCCACTCCTATCGGAGATTGGAAATCATCAAGGCTATTCTGACCTTGTTTACGGCTGACCTAAAGAGTTCATTAGTGGTGCAGCCAAACCACTCTCTCAAATTCCGCAACCATGACATTCTTCTACGGCCTGGATTCCGTTTTCCTTCTATTTTTCCCTGTATTATATTTTGAAGTAATGCGTATTTATGTCCTCTCATCAGGTGACCAAAATATTCGAGTTTTCTTCGCTTTACCGTTAACAAAATCTCTGGGTCTTTTCCTATTCTTCGTATTACTTCACAGTTTGTTATTCTTTCAACCCAACTAATCTTCAGCATTCGACGGTAGCACCACATCTCGAAACTTTCAATATTTTTCATGTTGTTCTGTTTGAGAGTCCAGGCCTCTACACCGTATAATAGCGTGTTAAATACATAGCCTCTCAGCATTCTTAATCGTAGAGGGATGCTTATATTTCTGTTGCAGAAGAATTTTCTCATCTTTATGAAGGTGGCCCTGGCAATTTCGATACGTCTTTTTATTTCACTGTTTTGGTCTCCAGTTTCGTTTATTAAAGTTCCCAAGTATTTGTAACTTGTTACTTTTTCAACTTGAGTGCCGTTTATACTAATATACGCTGGTTGTGTCATGTTTTTACTGAAGACCATATACTTGGTTTTTTTAATATTGATATTTATACCATAATTGTTGCAAGCAATATTTATGTCTGTAAGTAATCTTTGTAATTCTTCTACTGTTCTTGCAACTAGTACAGTGTCGTCCGCGTATCGAATATTATTTACAATCTCTCGATTAATTACGATTCCTCCGTTTGCTTGTAAAAGGGCTTCCTGACAGATGCTTTCACTATATACATTAAATAACAGAGGTGACAAAATGCAACCCTGTCGTACTCCTCTACGTATTTCTATTGCTTGTGATGTTTCAGTTTCTATTTTGATGTTAGCTTTCTGATTCCAATATAGATTGAAAATTATTCGCAGATCTTTATTATCTATGTCCTTCCTTTCAAGAATCTCTCTAAGCTTATCACGGCGTACTCTGTCAAACGCTTTTTCAAAATCGATAAAACACGTATGTACCTCCTGATTAACGTCTAGGCATCTTTGTGTGAGAACATTCAAACCGAAGAGAGCTTCTCGAGCACCAAGCCCTTTTCTGAACCCCATCTGTGTACAATCTTTAGTAAACATATGTAATTTAAAGGGTTTTTACCCTGATATTTTGGTGGACTCAGGCATGTGAATTTGCATTTTAAACCTGATGATGGAATTTGTATTCCGAAAACGTTCGTGTAATTGATGTAGTTCTTTTAAGGGATTTAAATATACCCATTTACAAAGATCTAATCTCTTTTTTGTGATACGTGGTATACAGCCAACTGCAGGAAATATTTTCCTTGTGGATTTCCTTTTCTTTTCATTTTATAAACATCTTGCAAATCTTGCAAAGTCCTTTTTTAATAACGTTAATAACTTTCATGGGATTAAGCCACAATTGGTTGTAATGATAATTACATTTAAAAAATACTTTTTCTTTCTGTAAAAAAAAGTTATTATCATTACAGCCAATTGTGGCTAAATCCCATAAAACTATACCTTTATCAAATATCCCACAAATAAATAACTTCAGAACTTATCCTCTTTTAAGTCTTGTTAATAAAATAAAGCTTGTTCGCTCTTACTATTCTAACAAGTTTTTAAACTTTATACTCAGTTTTCCAGAAACGTGTTTTGCAGTTCGCCTTTACTTTAGGTTAAAGAAGAACATCATAGCTTAGAAACCTGAGGGAATATTTTAACAGATCCTTTGCATCTGATTTGATCAGAGCTGCTGTCAATAAAATTAATGTAGCCAATTTGATAGTCAACGCACGATAATCGGGCATGTTGTAACCTCGGAAATCTTTTTTGGATGGTGCTAGAAAGATAACCAATGGAGACACTGCGGACGGCAGCCAGATGATTGGTGGAGAGCGAGTCGTGGGTTCGAAACTAGCTTTTGGAACTGGGATTGGGTCCAACGGACGAAATAAGTAAAGATAGGATAAGAGATATTAGAAAAGATATAGAAATAAACGAAAAGATAGATAGGTAAAATTACCAAAGATAAGAGAAGATAGAAATAGGGCGCCACTCAATTTTTTGGGGTTAAGGAGAAACTTAAGAAACCTTAGAAAAGAAAAGAGATAAGGAAAGATATCCTTCAGAGATCAGAGATCAAACCCAAGGAAAGATAAACATTAACAATATATTAAACACAAAATTATGATGCTGCTAAATGCAACACAATTAATAAAATATACACAACTATGAAATGGTGTTATAATATGTATAAAATTAAGCAATAATATAATAAAAAAATACCTTTACCAAGATATATAAGGCAATCATATACAAATATAGTTTGGCGTATCTCGAGATATTATAGGAAAGATAATGAGCAAAAATTATAGCAAATACAAAAGATAGCAAAAATTTCTTAACTCTAAATTTACAAAAAAAAAAACAAACAGGTTACAGAGTTGAAAACATTAACTAGCCAAACCGCACTTGGCTAGGTGGGTTACTATCTCGCACTATTAATTAATGCTAAACTGAGATGTTCATAGTTGTTATTTATGGAAAGTTCTTGAATTGTTCTTTAAATTAAATATAAAAATCGGCAATCTACAGATGAAGATATGGATAAATGATGGGTGATACGTCCAGATAATGGCAGGTGGTATGATATCATACCATATTACTCGCCCAGATAATTTTCAGATAAAGATTATGGTAACTTACATAATTCCTGATGACGGCAGCTTAATTCACTGAATTTAATATACTGTACTGGTATTCAACACTGAATTTAATTAGGTACCATTAAAGGTAGTGTAGAACTATATATAACTTAATATAGTCTAAGACAAGAAAACTGAAATATAGAGTGTATACACACTTAGAAAATAATTCACAGAGACGATAATTTCAGGCAAGCGACCACACTCAACGAGAGGCCACCGAGAAGTCTCACGAGGTAATCGACCTGTGCTCAACGAGAGCCCACCGAGAAGTAAGTTGGTTCCACTAAAAATTTCACCAACTATCCAAGAAAAAAGAAGAAGAAGGTATATCCCCCACTTAAAATCATCGGACAGTTGTAGGTAATTCTGAGGAAGTAAAAATTCCGAAAGTTTTGAGTTACCGGTACCAACAATTGGACATGAGAAGCAGACAATACGTGGGATTAAGTTATTGTCAAAAGATACGGGCCTTCGGCGAAAATTATCAATTTATGTAAAAGAACCTGCATACCCAAAAGCATTAGATCTTTTCATACTGAGTATTAAGACGGAAAGGATTAACTACCTTTAGTAATTAGGGAAGTCCATTATAATTTAGTAGATCCAATATTATTTTCTTATCGTAAACACGGGAATTCCTAATCATCGGCGTATCGCACGGGGGTAAAAGAAATTAAAAATAATTAATATTTTAATAATAAAAAAAAATGTTACAATGTTACACAAAGACGAAGAAGATCGGTTTATTACTAACCACATAGAGACCAACAATATTATTTAAAAATAAATAATTTTAATGCATACCTATTGTTCTGGAATTATCAACGTCATCTGCTTCCTTTTCAGAAATACAAATAAATGCTTGAATCCTCTGTTCATCTGATGAATAATCCAAACAATAGTTAAGGGTAGAGTACATAATGTACGTATCCGACAAATCTAAACCATATAAAGATCCATTAGTTTGAAGGTAAAACTCACCATCCAACCTGATTTGTAACATTTTGGACTCACAAGACCTTCCATGAATAATGAATTGGCCCGGAACGTGTTTGCCGTACGGTTTTGTTAAGTTATAAAAAACAAAATCTTCATCTTGTGATCCATTTTTAAAACTACATACACCATTATTGAGATATGAATCATTTTCACAGCACTTTCTCACACAATTTTTAATATTACAAACGCAACCGTAAATGCTTGAATTTTCCACAAAATAGTTTTGAGAACTAAACGTGATTCCATCTTGTGTTATATTCTCGCCCTCTTTATAGCCATCAGTAATATTTACACTTAGAAACTTTGGACATGTCGCACAAATCGTTAAAAATAAATCAGATATCACAAATACATATAAAACTCTAAACATTTTCCGTATTTTCGAATAGTTTGGGTCAAAAATCAGTGATTTACTACCAAAAACAACCGTTTGGAATATGTTAGGTAGTACAAGTAATTATACTAATGAGGGTCGCAGTAGGGTCGAAATGACGGAAAATGTAATTAAAAATCTATTTTTATTTTCTGAGTTATTGCATTGTGTATAAATGTTATCTCTTGTAAATTAGTGTTGTATGTTATAGATAATTATTCTAATAGCAGTATTACGAGAAATATTACACCTTTCTTATTAGTTTCAACTAAAAACAAAAAATAGTTTTGTGTTCTAATGTGTTGCATTACACGAACTGTGTAACTCTTTTAAATTGGTGTTGTTTATTATTAGTCCATTGAAATATTACATTTTTATGTCTTAGCGTGCATTTTTCGAGGACGCATTTTTTTATGTATTATTTTTTTTATTTATTTATTAACGGGATACCACCCAATTTAATATATACACAAAGTATTACAAGTATTATCTAGTGATACAATAATTATAAAGATATAGTAAATATGTATGAAAAGAATTGGCGATGCAGCTATATAGAGAAAAAAAACAAATATTAAAATTATATAAAGCACATAGCAAATATAAATCACATAAAATTACAAAAATTTTTTTAAACACATTCTACAGACATTTTTCGAAGCGCACAGCAACAAATCAAAGTCTATTCTATTTCCATTTAGAATGATTCTACTCAGTGGAGAATGCCTACCAAAGTTAGAGCGATGAAATTTAATTGCAAAATTTTGAGATGTTCTAGTAACTCTAGAGGGAACATTAAAGTCAATTATAGACAGTAGATCATTGCAATTAATTTTTGAATTCAGTAGTTTATGAAGAAACAAAACATCAGCATACATCCGTCTGGAAGATAGCCTAGGAAGGTTTTAATGTATTTCTAATTTCTGAGTAGGAATGGTCGCTTAAAGGTTTGTGTAATTTAAAACTTATTGGGTGAATAAGCTTAAGTTCAAGTTTGTAAGGTCGCCACTCTTGTACCCCTGTCGCCATCTTGGCATTTCTCGTAAACTTGTTACCCTACCGAAAATTTAATTAGACGTATTTGTAGAAAATTAAATTATTTACCACCATATTTGTATTATTTTTTTTTTCGTGAAAAAAGAATAAAAAAGTTGCTGAAAAAATAGCTAGAAAAAATAGAAAAAAAATTTTCTTTTGGGCCTTATAACTTTTTTTTGGTTATTTTAAAGTAATTATATTTTTATATTTTTTTATATATATTTTTATTTTTATATATATTTTTTATATATAAAAAAAATAATATATATATATATATATATATATATATATATATATATATATATATCTATAAGATGGTGGTATTCTTGACTGTTAATTAATTTAAATATAAATTATGGTTTTTGTAATTTAGATATAAATTATGATTAAATTAAATATATATATATATATATATATATATATATATAATATATATATATATATATATATATATATATAAGTTATAATTTTTGAGGATGCAGTCAGTTTATTTGGCCCACAAGACAAAGAAAACTCTTTGACTTACTGTCAAGCTTTCGAATTTTATTTAATTCTTTTTCAAGACATCTATAAAAAGAAATATAAATTAACTAGTTAAAATTGTTAATTGTCTTACTTACTAGTCGTGAGATTACAGTTGTTAATACTATTGTACTCCACAAAACAAACCATTATAAATATATTAAAAATTTTGTTTATTAAAAATAACTATATTGTCACTATATATGTCATTGTCATGGTTTGATTAATGGACATATATGAATGAAAATACAGTTACTTTATGTGGAAAGCAAAACCAGTAACAATAGTTTTTATTATAATTTATTTAATTGTCTATAAAAAATATAAATTATTCCAGTCAGCAGTTTGGTTTAAGCACATATGAATTTTTAATGTTAGGATGTCAATAGAAAATGAGATATTGACGGTATTTATTGATATGTTAATATGTAACAATAAATAAATAAACTCAAAGAGTTTTCTTTGTCTTGTGGGCCAAATAAACTGACTGCATCCTCAAAAATCACAATTCATATATATATAACATATATATACATATATATATATATATATATATATATATATATATATATATATATATATATATATATATATAATACAAGATAACTGCAACATGAAAGTACTCAAAGCAAAAAACTCAAGCGGCACAACAAAAATCATAGAAATAAAAAATGAGAAAAACGTCACCGGTCAGAGACAGAAAGGAAATAAGCAAGGCCATTGAAAAATTCTACACTAAACTATACTCGGTAAATACACAACCACAACAACGACGTACTCAACGAATAATAATTCACACCGGCTCAGAAGAAATACCGGACATAACCGACTATGAAATAAGAATGGCCCTAAATCAACTTAAAACGAATAAATGTCCGGGAGAGGATACGATTACAGTTGAAATGTTGAAAATTGGTGGCAGAAAAATGGAACAGGTATGAAGTGTTATTTAATAAAGTAATTGATGAAGGAAAGATTCCTCAAGAACTCCGAGGTCATTTTACTATTCAAGAAAGGAAACAGAGCAAACATCGAGAATTACCGACCAATATCCTTGCTATCACATCTGTATAAATTACTAACTAAAATCATAACCAACCGCCTAACACATAAGCTCGATTTCTATCAACCTATCGAGCAGGCTGGATTCAGAAAACATTTTAATACCATAGACCACTTGCACACCGTAACACTGATAGAAAAATGCACCGAGTATAATGTTCCAATTCATATGGCGTTCGTCGATTTCCATAAAGCATTCGATTTCATCGAATTATGGGCAGTGCTTGAATCTCTGGAAAATGCACGCATAGATTCAAGATACATTAACATAATTAAAAACATATATGAAAATGCCACCATGCATATAAAGCTGGACGAAAGCACAAAAACTAATCCCATAAGACTACAACAGGGAGTAAGACAAGGAGACACCATCTCTCCCAAACTATTTACCCTTGCTCTAGAAGATATTTTTAAGAAACTGGAATGGAACAATAAGGGTATCAACGTCGACGGATCATACTTAAACCACTTGAGATTCGCACATGACATAGTTTTAATAGCCGATAATATCCAAGAACTAAATGATATGTTACAATAATTAAATGCAGTTTCAGGAGCGGTAGGCTTAAAAATGAATTACAGCAAAACAAAAATACTGAGCCGAGACCAGACAAATATAACAATACAAAATCATACCATAGAAAATGTGGAACATTATGTATATCTAGGTCATGTTATCAAACTAGGAAAACCAAATCAAGATGCTGAAATTAAAAGAAAAACACAACTAGCTTGGGGCGCTTTCGGCAAACTAGCACGTATCTTGAAAAACACCTCCATCCCTATAAACTTAAAGAAAAGGGTGTATAACACATGCATACTACCTGTTTGTACCTACGGCTTGGAGACAGTAGCACTTACCAAAAAATCTGCCAAAAAATTAGAAACAACGCAAAGAGCAATGGAACGAATCATGCTTGGAATATCACTAAGAGACAAGATATAGAAACACCGAGATAAGACGTAGAACGAAGATAAGGGATATTGTGGAAGAAATTACAAAAATGAAATGGCGCTGGGCAGGTCACGTAGCCCGATATAATGACAACAGGTGGATACGGAGAATTCTAGAATGGAGACCAAGAACGACAACAAGAAGCATGGGAAGAACCTCAAAAAAGATGGGTAGATGACACAAGAGCAGTGGCAGGCAAACAGTGGATTAGATTGGCGCAAGATAGAGAAAGATGGAAGCAATTGGGAGAGACCTACATTCAGGAGTGGATGGAAAATGGTTGACAGAAAAGATTTTAAAGTAAAAATTTAATTTAAAATAAATTAAAAATAAAAATTTAAAATCTTACAGATTGCTTAGGAATACAATAGAAACTAACCACTTTGCTTAGTTTCTATTATACACTGTGTCCGTAAAGTATGGAACAAATTCTTTTTTAGCTAAACAGAGCATTTTAAGAAATAATCCTGAGACACGTCGATTTTTAATTTTAGTGTACCGTATTTTAAAATATTTTCTAATATACAGGGTGAATAACTTTCGAGTAATGACATCACCGTCATTTTTTTTTAATAGAACACCTCCATTTTGTCTCAATTTTCGGATTACTCTAGCTGAGCTTATTCCAAAAATGTATCACATGTTGATTCAAATTGGTACAGGGTGGACAAAAATACCATAGTCTTGTGTGTGCTCATAAAGTAACGCGTTAGTTAAATTAACAATATTATCAAAACTACTTATTGTCTAGCGGACAGAATATGATGAAATAAATGACTTTATAAATGTTCGAACTGCAGCCCTTGCTGTATTTGACAGTAACCCAAACGTTGTACAAACTCTTGTTGAATCTTGTTTATCGTGTCTTGAGAAATATTGTTTATTGCTGTCCGAATTCTCTGTTGTAATTCTTGAATATTTGCTGGTTTCGTTTGATACAGAACATTCTTCAGATGGCCCCACATAAAATAATCTAAAGGATTGAAATCTGGTGGCCTCGCTGGCCATTCAATAGGTCCACGTCTACCAATCCACCTGATCGGAAAAATTTCATCTAGGTACCTTCTAACATCTACAGCATAATGTGGAGGTGCACCAACCTGTTGCAACCATAACCTTTCATCAAAACCTCCAGGATTACGTCCGTTGGGAAACAAATTACGTAAAGTAGGTACGAGATACCCCCTTAAAAACTCAAGGTACGTTGCCCCGTTTAAATTACCTTCGATAAAGTAGGGTCCGATGATTCGATTTCTTACAATTGCAGCCCTACATTTACCTTTGCGAGTATTGTGTATGATGCTCACGCATCCAGTGGGGTTTTCTTTTGCCCAGTATCTACAATTCTGACTTTTAACCTCGCCATTTAACGTGAAAGTGGCCTCATCAGAAAAAATAATGTTTTGTACCAAGAGAG